ACCATATTCGAACATAGAGTTGAATTAAGAATATTTTAATATTGCCAATAATTAGAGCATAAAAAAGCTTCAGCAATCTTAAAACAAAAAAATATGAAAGAACTTTATTTGGGCAAAAACCAGTTTTCAAACGTGGCGATTCACTCTATAAGTCAAATAATCATGCAGATTTTGAAAGAAATATTGTTTTTGCTTTGTTAAAAAGTGAAAAAAATGGGGTTTGCAGTTTAATGCAATATTTTAAAATTAATTATGTTACGAATCTCGTTCCTCAAAACACTTTTTAACGTTATTTTAAAAGTCATAGTTTCTCTGGATATATGGAACTGTGATTAAAAATAATGACAGTTATCATTTAAAATAGCTACCTGTACCTAGCATTTTCTGTAGATTATTTCGAAGATGGTCCTTTACGTTTCCAGATGATTGCGGCCATATATACAGGTGGTTGATCTAGAAAGATGAAGTTTTTAGAAGTACTGATCGCTTTCGCAGGGCTTCGTCTGACGAAATTGATCGACACAAAGGGTTCACTATCTGTAGACAATTTATTACATATAGGGCCGCTAATAAGTTTTTTTAGTGCACATCTCCTTGTTTCTTGTAGGTTTTGATAAGTTTCTTTTAGCACTTGTTAGTGCAATTATACATATGTAATATTTTGGTAAGCAGGCACAGGAATGACAAAGCTGGCCGATATAACTACATCAGAATCCGGGCATTGTTGTGGCTGAGTGTAAGACGGCATCCAATGACGACAAAAAAGTTAGCTGTTTTGATTCCACATCTTTATTCAGTTCTCGCCGCAGATGATTTTTACTTTAGATTAAATTCTCCAAAATTGCATATTCAATAGTGATTTAAACTAAATACGATTAAGTTTACTGCGTCATACTATTCGAACAAAGGGAGACAGATGGGAAGAGCGGCAGCAAAAGTCTGATAGCAGCAGGAAAAGAAAGCAGTCTGACGAAAAATGGCGCAAACTCTGTATTCTGGCATGTTATAAACTCTGTTATATAACATGCCAGAATGTTCTCGAAAGGGGAAGATCCTAAAATTGCAAAAAGTTAATTATAGGCCGCCTGTTCGAGCAGAGCAAAGCCATCGTATTTTTTATATTTTACACACATGCAGCTGATTTTTTGAAATAAGATAAACTTTGAACATATAAAATTCTTTCATTTGTATGACAGTAAACACGCATACAGTAAAAAAAAAAAAATAAATAATGAATTTAAAAAATAAAATGCGGATTTTTGTAATGGGATATGCTTCTGGTAAATTCAAACATTTGCGGATTTATTCCACTCATACTGTTAGCAACTTTTTTAGACGATTGTTATTGTAATTACATAAATATTTCATCTAAAATTTTTATGTTTTAAATGCTGTATTTGATAACCCTTATTTTTCACAATCTTTATACATCGTAATTTCCAAGACAATAACATAGAACCTTTGTAGTATCGGGAGAGATATTTTATCTCATTACTCTCGAACAGCTTTCCAAAGTCTAAGGACGTTGTAGGTAGTTAGGTAGGATGTCGAGGTTTGAACAGCCTGCTTTTTAAACGTCGAAAAGCGCAAAAATACGTTGATGATAGATCGGATTTAGTAGGATGCAGTTCTACTGATTGCTCGCACTGTGTGTAAAGAGAAGGTATTTCATATTTGAAAATTGGGTATAAAATATGTTTTTGATAATACGTGGAGGTTGTTAACACTTTTCTTTACTCTCTTTAATTTTAAATTGCCGTTATATGAAAAACCAGAAATCCCTTGGAAACACTTTCTTTAGATTCCTTGAACCACGTTTTAAGATTTTTTCCTCCTCTTTGGTGATATGATAATAATTGCAGTCACCTAAGTTCACCCAAGATCCGTCTATTTTGACAACACTTTTCCATTTTTGCCGGGCAAATGTTTCTCATGAAGAATTCTGAAAGACGTTCTGCATTCGGCGATATGATATAAGGGACGCAGCCCGACTCTCCTGGCAGACTTTACGTCGCCCTATGGCCTTTTTTACGGACTGCGCCAGAGCAAGCTAGAAACAACACCTTCAAACAGACAAAAAGAACATAACTAAAAAACAAAATTCAAATTAAAATCCCTACTGCAAGCTTATCATGATTAATCTTCTCCATCATTTTCCTGGCAAATTTTTTCAGTCTTTTAAAATCATTTAAAATATCATATATATTAAAAACATCATTTTTCTTAAACTCGTTCCTGATATCAGTAAAATAGTTACATGTTTCAACATAAAAAATGCCCGTTTACAATTTAATTTAAATGCCCGTGCCTGCAGTGCCCGTTTTTTTACAGATATCACAGACTCTTGTAATTTAAACCTTTGAAAATAGAAAGGAAAACGGCCATGACCTGTAATGATTTGCTTAACGTCAGTTTCTGAATAACATAAACCTTTAAGTTTAAGAAATTTCATGTAACCTTCATTCAGATCAGACCTTTCCCACTCCTCCCTCCATTTATCATAAATATAAGTTTTCATAATAGTTGTTAATTTTTTCATTTCATAATTTCCTTGTTGATCCCTGTACATCAATATCACGAGCATTAACATCGGTAATTGCCTCCTTGGCCAGTGCGTCAGCGCTCTCATTTCCAAAATGTCCAACGTGTGCCTTCACCCAATGAAATACAATATTTCGATCTTCTCTCAAGTCTTTATATAATTCTTGTTGATACCGTGTACTATATTTGAAGATTACCATTAAAAGGTAGATATTAGAGATTCCTGCCACATATCGCCGAATTATGTGTTCGGCGATATGTGGCAGGGAAAAAACAATGCACATTTTGTTTTTTCGCCTTTTTAAGATTCAAATCAGCACTAATCACTCTGTTTACAGTTGGCGCTGAGTATTTTAATGATTTTGCAACTGCCATCTGACTTGGCGTATTTTCTTTTAACATTAAAAGATCTCACTTTTGTAACATTCGAAATATTCTGTTTTTTCCCTTGGATACGTATTTGGAACTACTTAAAGCTGATTTTGGACTTTTTCCCCCTCCTTTGTTGTTAACAACATTACCTGTCGTAGCCTTAGATATCGAAAACCCATGGCTTTCACAACGGTTTTTAATAATTCGATACGAATAATTTTTTCCGAAAAGAATATAAACATAACCTTCCATCCATTGCTTCATTAAAGCGACATTTTGCATGAAAACAAAACTGTCAAATAGCAGACGATAATTTATACTTTCAAAAATATAGTTGCAGCTAAAAAAAAAAAAAAAAAAAAAAAAAAAAAAAAAAAAAAAAAAAAAAAATTCAAGCAGCGTTCTTTTTTCAGTTAAAAGGAGCTTTGTCCCTGAGGGGCTATTGTTTTGTTTCACTCTGAATGTCCATTTCACTTTAATAACTGTTGCCACCAAATATTATCGCCCTGTATTATATTTGAAGAAATTAAACAGTGAAGAATCTACATAAATGTATGTATATTTCTCGCTTTGTGATAAAACAACGGTACCTAGAGCCATCCAATTTTGAATGATGTAATCCTACTGCGAATATGGACATCTGAAAGCCCAAAATTGAAATTTGTTTTATTATCGATTTCATACTTTGTAAAACTTTAACGAATTTTTGATTAACAAACTCCAGGATTTCAAAGCGAGCAATGGCAACATTGTACAGTAAACACATTTTGATCTCCAGCGCGTGAGACTGTGTATGGGAAATTCTAAAGATATGCCAAATTTAAAATTATTTTGAGATATTGCTCTTGAACTGAATTTTATGGTTAAAGTGAGAAGAACATGATATTTAATAAATACAGGTAACACACAAAATGTTAAAAAAAACACCCCTTTGGACGTAATTTAAAATCTGAAACCTTTCAGTTTTTTTCTAGCCTAAAGGGGCTTTGTTCCTGAAGGGCTATTGTTTTCGTTTTGCGATTTTGCGTTGAATCACTATAAATGTCCGTTTCAATTTTCAAACTGTTGCCACCAAATGAGTCTTGCATTATATTTGAAGAAATTAAATAATGAAAAATCTGCATAAATGTATGTATATTTCTCGCATTGTGATAAAACGGTGGTTCATAGAACCATCGAATTTTGAATGACGTAATCCTCCTACGAATATGGGCATGTAGAAAACCAAATTTGAAATTTGTTTTATTATCGATTTCATATTTTCTAATTTTTTAACGAATTTTTGAGAAACAAACTCAACGATTTGAAAGCGAGCAATGGCAACACTCTACAGCGCGGGGAAAAAAAAAAAAAAAAAAAAAAAAAAACCATTATCTCCAGCGGGTGCGGAACTGGTTATCCGAAATTCTAAAGATATGCTCATTTTAAAATTATTTTGCGACATTTCTACTAAACTGAATGTTATGGCTTAAGTGCAAAGAACGTGATATTTAATAAATAAATGTAACACACAAAACGTTAAAAAAAAAAAAACGCCCCTTTGGACGTAATTTAAAATCTGAAACCTTTCAGAGTTTTTTTGGTTTTTTTTTTTTTTTTTTTTTTTTTTTTTTTTAAAGCCAAGTTGTCTAAAAATTGTGCGGACAGCCTCTGTAAAGTATGAAGATATAACTAAGATTACCTTAAAAGGGGGGGATACGGTTTAGTTAATTCAGATTTGGAGACGTACTGCATTCATAAAGTGTGAAAACAACGTCACTCTAAAAGTATAGGGTTTAGCACTAATTAGTTCGCACTTCTGGAGATGTACTGTGTTTGTGAACGCGTAACTAACTAATTAAATCTCACTTCACTTAGACGTGAATAAATGTCTCCAGTTATTTCTAACATCACAGTAACACATAAAACATACAATGCCTATTTGTTTTTCATTTTTTCATGACAAAACTATGTTCAAGATCTTTAAAAAACACGCAAATAAATATTATTCTCTAGTGGCTTAGTAACCGAATTATTGCGAATAAGGCTATAATATTTTCAAATTTATACTAAAAAGCACACAGAGTCAGATTAAAAAAAACTCAATATTTTTTTTTTTTCAAATAGTAAAAAATTTATTGCTTCTCTCGAGAATATATGAGTCATAGTAACATTTAATGATCACGTTGAGTTCTTGTACAAAACTATGACTCGGCTATCACAAAACTAAAGTCATGATCATAAAATTTGAACTCCAGTTACAATAAATACATGATGCGAAAGCAACTACTTGACAGCCAATACAGCTGGCAAGAAATAACACAGAGTATGAGTGTACAGAAAATATAATACAATAAAAAATGACGATTTAAAAAAGCTCACACTCATATTATCCACACCACCTGGGTGTGCTAACATAAAATCTCTCTCAAAAAATATCTTTATTGAAACAAACAGTTTTTGAAGAATTTTTTAGTTTGGTTCTTGAATACTTTTTATACATTTGACATGATAGAAACAAGATTTACACAGACATCAAAACTAGTTGTATGTTTTACAGTGCTTGTTTCTCCAAACGTATTCTTATATGGATGGATTTACTTTCATAAGGAACTTATAAAAATAAATCCTGTGTTTTGATTCAAACAACCAATTGTCGTAACACAATTTTCTTTAAATCGAATTACAGAAAGCATAAACTATAGACTATGTGAGTTTTTAAAAGACCAGAGAATGCATATATACACACACGCATATATAGCGTGATATTTGACAAAATTTATTTGCATAATTAACAATAACTATTTTTTTTATTTTTAGATTTTACTATGCTGAGCAAGGAATTAGAATATTTAATCAAAATTTAAATTAAGGCAATAGTCAGGAGTCATCATTAAATTAAATTAAATTTTAAATCTAAGGCACTCATGATTTTAAAAGCAATAAAAAGTAAAATCTTAAAGCATTTAGATATAAAGCTTAACGAGTTTAAAAAGATTATATATTTTAACTAAATAAGAAATAAGGCACTTTATTCATTTGATAAGAGATTGACATTGAGACATTTTAACAATAAACATCCTTTTGATTAACAAGAATAAGAATATTCCATCAAAAATATAAATTAAGGCACTAATGGAGGAATTGTTCTGAAATCGAGCTTCCTTAGCTAGGCAGCGCGATTTAGTAAATTTAAAAAATAATAAAAACAAATTTAAAACATCACAATTAATCAAGCACATTTGTAATTGATAAATTCACTTTAAAACTGCTGAGTATTTAAAATTAGAAAATTCTTTCAAACTATAAATTAGCTCTCAAGAAGATTCCATTAATTTTATAGAAGGTTAAATATAATAAAAAAGTTAACACATTTAAATATTTTTAAGTTTTGAAAAGTCTTTCTTGCATTTGTTAGTGAAATTATGTTTTGTATTTCTTAATTTTCAGTATATAAAATTTAAAAAAAAATTATGTTAGGTCTGCCTTTTGCTTGAAGACGAAATTATATTTTAACGATATCATATTGCTAATTTTAGAACATTCAAAATTAAACAAAACAGGAAGCCATCCATTATTTTTCATTTGATAACGAAATTTTTAAAGGCATAAAACTTTTGTTTCATAGCTTTTAAAAAAATTTAAATATATTTTTTTTTAATTCAGTTTTTAACACGATGCCGAAATTATATTTTAACAGCATAATTTTTAAACTTATATGAGACAGACGTGGAAATATTTCAAAACTTAGTTTTCGAATGCAGCGTTTCTATCATTTGATAATGAAATTATATTTCAGTGATAAAAATTTTAATTTTTATATTTATAGTTACGTCTTTTAAAATGATTACCTTCAGTTCCATGTATAAAACATTCCTTTCAAATGAACCCTTAAGTATTATATAAAATTATTACAATGCACACTGAGTTACAAATCAGTAAAACACAACAAAGTATTAAATTTCACAGAAAGTTCATTAATTCTTTTTTGAAGTCTGAGAAATCAATATAAAATAATTTTCATTTATCAACAGAATATTTCTGTTACATTTTAACGCAATTATTTGCTTTTGAATATAATAAAATTAACGTAGGTTAATTGATAAATAGAATTCAGACAATATTTATATTTTTATTGAAAACATGAGAGCTAAGGAACAAAAATTACAATGTCTGAATATTCAACTAAAAGTTTCAAATGTATCGATTAATCCTTTTATTCAATAATGCATTTGAATCGATTGCTAAGATTTACCAAAAATATTCATTTCTTAAAATATTACAATATTGAAAATATAGTAATAAACAATATAATATTAAAACAGAAATCTAAATTTTCATTTAATGTTTGAGATAAAGAGGTACGTAACACAAAATGTTAATAATGATGTGTTTAAGGTAATTATTTAGACATTGGCATATTATATAAAAATCCATATTCGAGTATTAATTTGAATATTTATGAGTGGGCAGGTAAGAGCATTCACCAGTAAAGTAGGCAGTGTTATAATGTATTTCATGCCGACGTCGTCAAATTAAAAATGTATGAACCGAATATATAAAATATTTCTTGCATTAATTTTACTTCTTAAAAATTATTATTTATGACGGAAGACGGTAAGTCCTGTTTATTTTAAGAACATTAAAGTATAGTTATGAAATTATAGTTATACTAGTTGTGAAACTTATAGTTGTGAAATTTAAAATATTTTATTTAACTTATTCAATAAATTGTGATTTTTCTCCAGTGTGACCATTTGGTATGATTACTTTTTAAAGTTTTATTTCAGAATTTAATAACGGTTTTCAGATGATTAAGATGTTTATTTATAATAAATAATTTTTAAAAAAGAGCGGCGAGATAAAAATTAGAAATGCATGCTGCAGTTGTCTGTAATATGCGTAGAGTAATTACAGTAACAAAATGCTTAACAATGTGATCTGAAATAATAATATCACAAACCCGAGATAAGGTAACACAATACATTGCAACATACGTCAAATAAAAATTTTACATTTTAAAAGAAAAGTAGTGTTACTTGTGAACATGAAAGAAAATATCACAAGATTTCTTTGACTAAAGCAATGCTTATTTGTTTTACCTGATAAAACCCCATCACAGATCCGTTGCAGAAAGTTTGATCGTCGTTATCACAGAAATGCGATAACCCAAAAATGTTGCAAAGAAAGCCTTATTGTGTGAATTAAAATTCGTATATCAGCACTTTGGTTTAAAAAACACTGTCACAGTTCGATTCAGTACGATAATGTTATCTAATGTATGTAATTTCAGAACTGAATTGAAACTTTGAAGAAAGCATTAAAAGTCCGCATCGTCAAATTATCTTTGAACAAATGTTCCGGATAAAGTACCGACTAGAAAACCATAAGTTTCATGCACAGAAGAAAGTTCAGTATCTTAAAAAAATATTTTTTCCGACTTAAACGGAGTGGCGGTAAATAATACTGATTTTCCTCATTGAAGATTCAGCGGATAAATTGTTTCTCAACATAAGATTCTTATGATTTTTAAGCTACTAAAATATTTTAAGTAGTGTTCTTAAACGAATTGATTTGATTGCAACATACGATTTTTTTAATATTTTACATAATATACTAATACTTAATAACTAATATTTTTCAAAAATTTTTTAAACAATTTAAATTTGTCTATTGTCCGGTTATAAAAGATAATTTAAGGTAATTTTGCACTTTATCTGAACATATATATACAATCTATTTTAAGCTTATTTTTTTAAATTCCGCCACTTCGTTTTCCAAAGCAGCATTTTAATACTGCTTTCATAATCCGAATACCTTTTCATTTTATATATCAATAAATTAACGCATGTACCATTGAGAATTAGAGAATGAAGATCATCATGAATTACAAAAGTTTCTTATTATACGCAGAACTAGGAACGATCGAATTCTTGGCCAAGGATAATTTGACAGATCTATTAATCTAACACAGAATTTATGATTAGCTTCTCGCATTAGCCCGAATACAAGATAGCATTATAAATAAGGCAACTTTGCATTTTTGGAGATAGTAAGCAAGAAAAATCAAAGCACTTGATATATCTGATTTATTAGAAGATATATCTGATTTATTAGAAAATATATCTGATATATTCTTGATATATCTGATATATTAGAAGTTTTCTTTATAAGAAAACCACCATTTTTATAAGAAATCCAAACTTTGAGAATAATTACATAAACTTCTTTTAAGGAGAAAATATGCTTCTAAGCTTTGATTAATTATTTTAATGTATTTTTGAATATTAAGCTGCTTACATAAAATGGATATGATTCAATAGGGCATTTAAGGAGGAAACTCGTCGTCTTATATTCGGGACAAAACAATATCTATAACACACTTTGGAGATTTAATATTTAATGATATTTCAGATGCAAATAGACGAATTAAATTTAAAAAAATAAAGTGAATCATATCTATTTCATGGACAACTAGATAGTTTAATTTGCTTTAAATGCAGTCAACAGAGTTATGTAAACAAATGCACACACGAACATAATTTACTGTATATTTTGTAATGAAAAAGGCAAGATTTGTTTCATGAAACCTTCTATTAGATTGCAACGTGCTAGAATATCTCATATTTTAATATGAAATATAAAAACATTGTATATCCCGGAAATGATTTGTACGTGCTATACAAATATACGTTCCAATGTACGTGTTTTTAAGTAATAGCAAATGATACTCTGCCATGAGTATGTTACATCCATGTCTTAACTAATAATCACTTAAAATGAAAAATTTCGATACTGTTTGAAATGGTTCCAAGAAACAAAGCAAATGTATATGACTCAAGAAAAATGTTGATGTATACTTTGAATAAGATCAGATCTAAAAATACATAAATATAGTTAAACATGATGGTCGCACTTTGGCAAAATTGCTCTTGCACTACTACCCCATTTGAGGAAGAAGGAAACCGTTACAGATCCACCGGTTTCAAATGTCTTGTAGACTTCACTCTGGTAAATCCCCCAAACCCAATTGTCGATAACGAAATAAGAGTTTGAATGAGATATACAAACGAAAATTGCTCTAAAATTTAATACACGCTTTCGAGAAAGCTTGACATTTTCCAGCTTTAATAAGCACGTGGTAAGAATTTATGGGGCCAGTTTTTCTGACAGATTTCTCCCTGTAAATAGTTCACCGGTAAATTCCTTCGAAGCTAGATTTCCAGGCCCAGAGTTAAAACCAAAATTTGGCATGAAGTACCAGATTACTTTTGTATGCACTAAAGAATGATAATTAAACTTGTCTCTTCTTTAACTTTTTGAATTTTAACCAAAGCCTAGAATCACTTTTAACACCAATGATCACCGGCGATGATTAGTGGAATGGCGTTTTGGACATCAGAGTACCATGGAATGGAATACCAGATGTAAATTATTAACGTCAGAATAAAAATTAATGTATCAATATGGCCTCCATACATCTGATTGCACCATAGAACTCACAGTTGTAGATGGGGTCGTAGTTACAGGTACACCAGTTTCAAAAATATTTGTACTGGGTGTTTGGTCTTGCATCACAGGAACAAAAGAATGACTTTGCTGCGATGGAACAGAAGTAGGCATGGAAAACGGGCTGGAGAGCGATGATATCGCAGATGTCACTGGAGGAGTCCTGAGTTCAGAATCTAAGATATCCAGTCCGAATGAAGATAGTTCATTTGATGAAGGTGATGATGAAGACGACAACACATTGGCAGCCATAGTCAATGGACCAGGAGTATAATCACTATATAAGTCCAATGAAGGTAACTGGAAGGCGAGAGAAGAAGTACCAACAGTTGATGATGATGAATAAGAGCCGTAGGCTGGTAAACCTGATGATGATCCTGGTACGTTAGTCAATGTCCTATTTAGAACACTCGATGACACTAAAGCAGCAGTCCCAGCTTCACTGCTGTCTATTATTTCTTGGGAAGATTGTAGCTGCCCTGAATTAGTTGGATAAAACATGGATGAGTTGCCTTCTGATGAAAATATTCCAGATAAACTGCTGGAGAAGCTCTGAGATAGTGTCGATGGTGTACTTGACGTCAAGTAAGGCGACTTAAAACTGGTAGGTGATGCTGTATTGATATTGCTAGGCGTTTGAAATGTAAAGGATTGTGAAAGCTTTTCACTAAAAAATTCTTGGCGTAGTTTAGGAGTCTTTAGGTCACTAGAAGGCTGCTCTGATGAAGTAGCCAGAGGTTCGTAATATAGTCCCATGCTTATGAGAGAATTGTCACTTAGCACCGGCTGAGTTGTTGAAGATGGACCAGGGCTGAAGAGGCTCGGAGTCAATACTGAGGAAGAAATAAATACTTATATAAATAAATAAATTCAGCAATAGGAATTAATTACTTGAGAGAAAAATAAGAATTAAAAGTAAATATTCAGCAGGGCAGATGTTAAGAAAAGTTTATAAGCAAAATTTTTTAATCTCTATATTTTGGATCAAAAACTTTAAATCGCATTTCTCTGTAGATATCAAAAGACGCTTTCATCGGTATAGTGATTAGTGTTGCTGTCTGCCGCACCGATGTGCCTGAGTTCGAATCCCAGAGAAGCGGACATTTGTTAAGTATATAGTATTCAATCGGCATGGGAGAATTCTGTTCTGCTCGTTCTGCTCGCTAGTATTTGTATAGTTCGACCGTCTCAAGCGCAATTCTGGTTGGCATTCTGCCAAAACACATAGACTCGTCCAAAAGGGGCGGTATTACTTGCTGCGACGTGAAAGGTCTTCTCTTCTCCGGAAAGAGGTATGTTGGAGAGAAAGAAAGTTCCACCCTATTTTGAGAATAATTCGGTCCGAATGGCGCATGCGTGTTTGCGCTCATGGTCGCGGATGAGGCTGTCGGTCTATACCTGTAGATATCAAAGTTTTAACGGAGAAATAACGATATCTTAAGTAATCTAATGCTGATATTCAGTTGCAAATGCATATTTCTATCTGTTCAGATAATTGTTAGCATACTCTTGTTGATGACATATTCTTAAAAGGCAAAATGTATGGCCATATGCTTAGAGCCCATGCAACCCCCCCCTCCAAGAAAAGCTTATTAAAAGAGAAAAGAGGTTTAATTTAATAATATAAAATGTATAGTGCACATGTAAATTTTTTTTAAGTGTTTAGAAATGTCTTAACTCTGACATTATCTAATAAACATGAATGCTGACAATATTTTCCTTAAAATTGCCACATTACTCTAAGAAATGATTTTCCTTATTAAAAAAATACTCGTATTAAAAAAAAGCACTACAATACTACAATAAGCAAACTGTATTACAAGGAACTGCGTGATAAAACAATAAACAAATTATGCTTTATAACCTGAAGATAAAGCTTTATAACGTGAATACCGTTCATTGCACGGTAGTTGAATATAATGCATGTGATATGATATTAGAACATGATAATACAAGGAAATAAATATGCTGTACGTTGTATCTTATTAGCACATGATAAGGTAAGGGATGCATTCACTGTCTTCAGTAGTTGAACATCACGTTCAATACTGAATTTGACTAACAAGACAGTTTGGGTAGTTTACGCATATTTGTATGATAATCGATAATATTTGTTTAGAATAGTCAGAAATGGATTACAAAACTATTACACCAACCTGAATTAGCCGAAGATACAAGAGAAATAAGCTGCTCGTCAGATGGGGCGGAGAAAGTAGTAGAAGACACTGTAGAGGGCAGCAGATACTGAGGATACGGTGGGGTAGGGAGAGCATGCCAAGGTATGTCTGAAGCACTACTTGTAGTGGAAGATACAGAAGAACCTGCACGAAAGAAAATACATGTGACTAAAATGAATTTAACAATTTTAAGAAATGTGAAGCAATTGATATCTCGGTGGCAAGCTTAAATCAAAGACACAAATTGCATGCAGGAACATTTTAAAGCATATTCCAGGTGGTCTTTTCGCTTGCTCTTAAACCAAACCACTTTTTTTAATCAAATATTAAATATGTAAGAAAATGGTACACAACAGTTTAGAATCGAAATTTACTTAATTTTACTCAAAACTTTGACATAAAGTAGTTGTTACTGCTTTCTTACAGCTAAGTACATTTACTTTGCAAAAATTTAATCTCAGATTACAATTTCAGTAACAAGAAATAATATCTGCGATACGGTTGAGTTGTAACAGAAACAGTATTTTTGAAACAGACTACTTGAGCGGAGAAATTTTGATGTTAATCTTCACTAAATACGTGATTTCAGTATGAATCGTAGCAAAGATACAATAAGGGCATTTTTAGGACACAAAATTCACTGACAAATCGACAATGTAACTCCTAAATTCTTGGTTGAAGTTAAAACAGTAATAAATATTTAACGACTTTAAACCATCTATAAAAAATATTACTGCTATTACTAGCAGTAAATTAGATTAAAATAGGAACATAACGTAGCTCTGTCGGAGTTTCGTTGATAGAAACAGAGTATGTTAATGTGGTTTTAAAATTGTAAAATTCATTTTTCAGTAATTAATTTGATATTTATAGTTAACATGTGTGCCAATCAATAATCTTCAAAATTGTAGAATTTAAATACGTGATACTATGTCAATAATAGATTGAATGCAAAGCATCAAATGGTAAGCAGTGAAGTAACTCCCTGTAAACTAAATAAATAAAATAAAATGCAAATAAAAAAATAAAACAGATAAATAAAAAATCACTTCTAAAAGTTATTTTACTATTTGACTAAGCTATTCTACAACCACGATGTCTGCGATTTTGTATTAACCCCTTAACTGCCGCGGGCGTATATATACGCCTTGCTCAGCCGATGTGTTAACTGCCCCAGGCGTATATATACGTCCTTCCAAACTGCTATCATTTGCTTTCGCTGCACACATAAAATTATTCGCAAGTTAACGCATCGGCTGCGCATCTGGGGCAGTTAACGCATCGGCTGAGCAAGGCGTATATATACGCCCGCGGCAGTTAAGGGGTTAAGCAGGGGATGAAACAAATCTGGGGCACATTCACGCAAAATAATTTAACTTGCGTGAAGGTGGAGGAACTTTGTGAAAAATGATGAAAAGGTGTCCGCATTTTTATGAAAACAACAACTGAATGGCTAACTATGCCACATCTTTAGGAAAAACTCTGAATTGGCATAAAGTGTCACAGCTTTTCAGTGGCTATATTTGAAGAGCCTTTTTTAATCCTTTACGAACATGCTAATTTGAATATAAATTCTACTTGAAGATGAATTAAACAGGCTTAGAGATGGCCAGCATGTGTTTCTAGTAAAATTTCGAATTCTACTAACATTTTCAGAAATCTTACATTGAAAGGAAATACGCCAATAACCTTGACCACAAAAATGCAGAATAACAAGTATTGTAACCAATCCTTTAACATAAACTGTTGGACTAACTGTAACAACAAGGCTGCCCTCTGGTGAGTAGCCAGAGAAGTACTTCAGTAAAGTCAAGGCTCCATTGGTAGGTTACCAGACTGTTGCTCTGTAATATTTTCTTAAACAGTGGCGTAGCTAGGGTGGGGCAAGAGGGAACATCTGTCCCCGGGCGCAGCATCAAGGGGGCGCAATTGATGCTACGAAATTTTTTAATGAAATGTTTCGCATTCTTGGCACACAGAAAGGGGCGCAGATTCTTTAGTTGTCCCCGGGCTCTGGAATCCTAGCTACGCCACTGTTCTTAAAGTTAAATGTAATGTCCGTGTGTAACTTAAACCTGTTAATAAATATTTGTTACACTATACAGGACTCTTCTATGACCCTATCTAAAACGACCCCTTTACAGTATTAAATTTTCAACAGCAAGCTTTCAGTTCGGATAAACAGTAATTTTCACATACTTTGCAATGTCATATAAGCATAAAATATTTCCAAAAAGTGTTCCATCACGGTAAAAGCGCATACGATTGTTTTCTGACAACAAAACAAACAAAGCACTGGAAAAGTAAATCATTTTACGAAACGAGACAGAAGAACGTTATTTAAGAAAGCTTAAAAAACTAACTCGCAAAGAAGAAAAATGTTGTCAGATAACCTTAACTATGGGAAACAAACAGCACTTTTAACTTTCGAAAAAGTATAAATGTATGAGTACAAAAAATGATAGCTAATCAATATAATGCATAGTGACGCTTCTCGAGTTCTAGGGGGAAAAAGTTATTTAACCCCTTATTAGGTAGACTAAATGCAAAATTTCCCCGTAAAGTACTAATTAATCTTCTTTAAAATAGAGCTGTTGGTAAAATAACCCTGGTTTATTGTTGGAGCAGGATATAGTAAGCTTAAACAATGACAGGCAGCAACAACTGAGCTTCAGTTACGCAATTCTTATGTCCGTAATTGAACACACAGAAGATTGTTTCAACATTAGACTCCAATTAGGCGACATAATCATCTTCATCATTCACCACAGATAACCTCACGCTTCGCGCACGCCTCGGATCGAATTCGAAACGGTGACGCATTAAGATGCAGGCGTTTAAAAATCATAACAGGCAAATATAACTCTGCATGAATCACATGTGATTCAGGCTTAACTTTTTTCCTGAGCCAGCCTCTCTGGCGCCTTTACTTTGTTTCTTTGTAATTATCAAACTTTTTTTCTGGGCGCGAACACGCGTCGGACTTAGCGATACACATTGCCAACCGCAGCATCCAGCCTTACAAAACATATTTAAGCCCTCCATTGTGCGTGATACGCCCTGTAATATTTCCTTACATTTTTTATTTTTCAACCATCCCCACCTGTCTGTCATTTATTTTTTTATTATTACTTTATTTTCTTATTTTGCGGTTTTCTGCGGTAGGGCCTAGCCGACTGAATGGCGGGAAAAATAGCGGAAATGGCTTTTTTACCCTTTTCCTCTTCTCCTATACCCTTGGAACTGTAGTTTTAAATGGGCCTTGTTTGTGTCACATAAGGCGTGATAATATAATACTGGATTGAGCTCCAAGTAAACCCGGTGTTATGTATCATTTCAAGGAAGGAATTCAAGAACTGAAGGGTCCGAGTTATTTTCAGCCACACTCCTGGATCTTAGAAAAAGTATGTCATTAGCATGGCTTCACCTCTTGGATAGACATCAGAAAAAAGCCTACATTACACTTTGTTTCACACGCAGCGTAGTTTTACTAATGGAACTGAGAAACTACCAGAATTCTTATGGTCTATCAAACAAGAAAGGACAACCATTGAATGAAACTTCGTGTGTTCGAAATATAACTGCCTCAGAAATTAACAGATTACAAAGACTATTCCAAAAGTTATGTCTCATCTTTTCAATCTTGGAAGCTACTGGGAGTACGAAGGAAATTACATACCTTTATTAACATGGCACTAATATTCCATACGGGGCCCAAACAAAATAGACAGACGTTCTAGGTACAGATTCTATCGGCACGAATATATGCCCTCTTTCCTACCTTTCATGAAGTTAAATGAATTATGGAATAGCAAGAATATAAAATAGTTCGTAGCAAGAATATGGCAGGAATTATAGAATAGTTCGTAGACTTGGGACTCATGAGTAACCAAAGCATATTCACACAAAATCTTTGGCGAGCTCCATGCTGCTTTTGCAATGGCTAAGAAATCCGTCTTGTAAAACCATGTTTAGCTCTAATCCTATCTCTCATATTATAAGTTGTAGAGCAATAGGATTTTTGGAAGACGGAGAGATGAAAAATGAGAAACCGCCTTCGCCGAGAATCAAACCACGGAGCTCTGGAATACCGGCCCAGCGTGCAGAACCACTACACCACGAAGGCACGCTAGGAAAGTTAGTGATTATGTTCCATTAGACTTTCATTGTCCGATCTAATGAAGGCCAAACATCGAAGGTAACGGCACCCAACACAGATGCTGCCATGCTTCTGGATGCAATTTAGATCAAGAAAAGCCGATTTTTATACAACAAGGATACGTAGACTTGTTGGATGCTAGAGAAGGTGCAAACAAATAGAAATTTTGCAAAGAATTATCAGCAAGTAAATTAAGGTACAGGCCATATATATTAATTTTTTTCTTTCTTTCTTTATTGTACTGCACAAGATAAAAAAAAAAAAAGATCCGATTATTTCAGGACACTCTTCGTAAAAATACAATTGGACGATTCTTTTTTGCCGTTGAAAAAGTATCTGAAAATCTTTATAGTACCGTTATCTCAATAGAAAAGTGGGCGACAGGCTTTTGCAACATTCTGAGGCTCTTACTTACACAAACTTCTCAAGAATCACAATAAATTCGCCAAAATAAGGAAATGGTATGGGCGCCCATGCATTAAGACGGTACACTTCACAGACACAATGAGTTCATTCGATATGTTAGTGTGAATGTGATTCAGATTCTTTTCGGTCAATTGTTGGACCAATGAAATATATATATAATTTCATAAATAATTCCATTGAACATTCTTAGCAAGACATAGAAATAAATGCATTTTTTTGATAGGAGCATATGTTGTCAGCAAGAATAATTTTAAAATCTATATTGTAAACAACGGAAGCCTCCTTCACTTCAATAGTATTTTATTTGTATTTTTTGGAATCATACGCGAGTAATCCAAAATTAAGTTAAAAACCGCAGGATTTGCATATTATTCTAATATTTTCAAATTTTACCTTAACGGTGCATTAAATCAAAAATTCAAATTTACAATAATAATTTTAAATATACTAAAAAAAGTATGTCATTAGCATGGCTTCACCTCTTGGATGCATTGTACTATAAATTTCATAAGGAAAATATTTTAAAAGTTACAGTATATCTTCTATGATGTTTATATAT